CCAGATTCCACACCATGGACTTGAATCCATGTGATGTTTCAATCTTCCGGACGGTAGTCTCCATTTGCTTCAGCATCTCGGTCAAAACAAAAGCAACAATGAACTTCTTCAACAAATAAAATATGTTGCAGATATGTTGCGCCATGAAAGGACTTACAGTATAAAAATGTATACAATTCAGATTTACAATGATAAACGCGATTCAAATAAAAATGTTCTGAATGCACCCCAGGCACCAAAGGATGTTTCAATGCAAAGTCTGCGAGGAGTTGGAATCTCAGCTCAAGGCTAATGCAGCTCAACTTTGATGCTGGACCCTTCTTCAGAAGCCTGCTGATCTGGGAATGGATCCCTTCGGTAGATTGCTCGACGATTCTTACCTCACAAACAAAATGGTAGACAATGTAAACACTGTTAAAGACTTATGAATTGCAAATACATTGTTAAGCTTTAAACATCCAGCATCCTCCTGCCTTCTACAGCCCTACAGATCTACAACCTCGACATGATCAATTATGAAGCAACCACTGAAGCAACCTATTGAAGAAACAAACTGAAACTGAAGCATTGAAGCATTCCATTTTCAGCTGAAGCACACACCTAAACGCTGACAACCAGTGTGTCAATGGGGATACATCTTCCATGTCTGCCAGCACTTCTCCTCTTGCTAACCGTTCAACATAAGGGCGAAGTGGTGGGTCAGGCACACCATCATCCAAACCCTCGAACCCTGGGTCGAGAAATCTTCTTGTTTGCACATGGTCCATAACTCCTGGACCCTTGCTGTCCCACATCTTCAGCACCTTCTTTGCTGTGATCTTGACGATGTTTTCATCCGTGTGTGAAAGTGCACCTCAATGTGAGCATGAAATATCACTGCGGTGTTGGTAGCCATGCTAGACAACCAGAGGCAAGCATTGAACACATAAAGTCAGCTGTCGTCTCAAAAACATGATGGCGCAACATGTTCCCAACTTGATTGACAAACAAGTAGCATAGCACCCAAGGGAGCTGGCCCCAATAGTCCAGTTTTTGAAGCAGCTGTCCTAGGCTGTCAGGTGCTTCCCCAAAACTTATGCAATGCAAACACTTAGCCAATAACAACTGTAAAACATTAATTCTAAAGTAAAACCCAGCAGCCAAAAAGTCTAGACCTAGCTGTAGACCAATCAGCAAGAAGTGCATCCTGCGCAGAAGAGCCATTTCCAACCCGAGCAAAATGACTTTGTATTGTGCCAACCTGCTGAGACATCACCCGCAGCTGTGATTGCAAGCCTTGTCCGCAGGCAAGTTCTGGCGCTCTACAACCTTTCCTTGGACACACAATTTGTGAATCTGGTAATCTGCTCCAACGTTTCTTTTCTCGATGGATATTGTCTTCATGGCTCTTGTCGTGGCACTCGCACCCACTGGCCCAACGTCCAATGAATTCAGACTCAAAGGCAATCTGAGCAACAACTCCAACACGCCCCCAAAATAGGTCAGACCTGATAGCCTTGTCTGCGTCTGCAAAATCAGCGCAAATGGTCCAGCGTCCATGTCCACTTGCCCCTTGCAAGAATGCACCAATGTCCCAATGTTTCCGCAAGTGCTCCTCAATGTCCAGGAGTTCAATGCAGAACTCAACGACCACCTCCCACCGCAGTCCGCCCAATTTGGAGCTAAATCCCTGAACCAAAGATGTTTGAGGATCATTCTCAGGCATGCAAACAGCGGCCAGTCGCTCACGGTATTGGACACGAGACAAGAGCTTCTCCAACCCACGCAACTGCACTAAGAGTGGTTCCCATAAATTCATTGCCCCCAGCACAGATTTGAGGAGATTATCTGCCACATGACGTAGCCCTGCCACATGAAGTGCGTTCGCGAATTGAAGCAACTGACGCTGCCCCTCTGGTCGCTGCTCTTCTAATTGCTGCTCTTGCGACATTCGACGGTTCAGTGCAACTTCCTGCAATGCTGGATCCAACTGCTCAACCTGATCTTGAATCTCCAATGGTTGATACTTGTCTTCTTCCAAGCACAAGTGTGATTGCTGCGGCTTAGTTTCAAGAACTGCAGCAACATCGGCAATATGTTCATCCCCTTTCAGCTCTGGTAGTGATCCAAAACCAAACTCTGTACCCTGGTCAGAAGTAATGGATATGACCTGGTGACAATATCTTCGAAGGATTTCAGTGCGGCTTGATTCACCCTGAGTTGGCAGTTCCAGTTGTAGGACCCACAAGAATGCATCCGTTTTTGACACCAGGCTGGTGAATCCTGCACACGGCAGAAAACTGCTGGTAACGCACGCGCACTATGCTTTAGGTAGCAATCTTGCACTTCAACTCATGGCACATGCCACTCACAATGATGTTTGGCTCAAGGTACATGTGCGTGTGAAAAGTGGTTCATTCGCATTTGCTCACTCGCTCTTGTGAATCTTATCAGAGTGTAAGCTAGATCCAGGGTAGATTCACTGTATCCAACAAAAGTAGCAACAGGAGGCTCGACTCCACAACCACCAGTTCATGTACAATATGATGCTTTCAAGTGAATGCTTTGTATGTGCTTACTTCTAACTCGCAAAAGGCTGGACACCACAAGCAAGCAGCTTTATTGAATACAGCATGCTGCAAATATGTGATATGTACAAGTCATTGCTAGTACCACAGCGCTACAGTGCTACTTGTGGATTTTGCGGTAAAGAAAATCCAAAGTAATGTCAAAAAGCTCTGAAATAGAATGACAACAACGTTGTGTAAGCAGCTCCTCATACCAAGACTACATACATAATATACAACAACAACACACTCAAAACAAGTGCATGTCATGTCATCGTCAATGGCTTCTCCTTTCCCCAGCGATACAATTGGCAATGTGCGTCGTTCAATCTCATACGTGTTGACAGACAAAGCACCATCCAAAGAGTTCTCAAATGCAGCCTGAACTTCACAACGCCTGAGCAGGGCCACAACCGGTTGAATTTGCATCCACTTTTTTCATCTTTTTTCCCTTGCCATGTAAACGGTGTAACTTAGCCTTGCACAGGAAAGTGAAATATGGTTGCTACATAAACATACAAGGACTCTTCTTTGCTTGCTCGTGTCATGGAGTATGGACCTGACCTGACTTAATCTTTTGCGGTTTGTGTAAACATGAATGGTTGAAAATTGAAAGTTGAAAGTATACAATGCGGTATACTGATTGTACTGTTTTCAATCCACCTTGCGGAGAATTCTTCTGCAACGAACAGTTCCTTTCGTTGCTCGGAACTGTCTGAACCTCAGATGGCGTGACTTGTTTGTATTTGCGACTCCGTATTGTATGTGTATATACAGCACAAAAGCTAGAAATCCCAACATCTCAAAATTAGCCTAGAAGCAAAGACTCACCCATCTGCTACTAAGACCTTCTTCCAGCCACTGCTCTTGTCGACAAAGCATCAAAAACAAATCAAGCTTGTATCTGGCCTTTGACAGAGTAGATCCTCCTGGACCAACGTGGTCATCTACTTCTACAGCGTCAAGCAGCTGCAGCTGTCCCGTCTGAGATCTTCCTTTTTGAGCAGCTACTTCTAAAACCCGATTGAAGTCCCCAGACACGATTCCTCCTGCAGTCGCCATTGCAGCTTGGAATCTCTTCGAGTTTCGAAGTTGCTGACTCCTTAGTGGATGCGCAAAGTCAAGAATTTGATTTGGTGTTTGGTGAACCCGATTTCTGCTGACAACATAGTTTGCCAGAACATGCTGAAAATCTTAACTCTGAAGAAAGTGTGTCTCTTCCACTGTTTACCTGTCAGCTGTTTGCCAGCAATTGCACTACATTTTTTGTTGAGTCTTGTGCAACCGATTAAAAAAGAACGCATACCTAATACCGCATACCCTGAATAAGATGGCTGACATGTGACATAGCTGTAAAGTTGATCAACTGGCGCACTGAATAGACAGGACGTCCTAATCCATGTTGCTCTCCAGGACGTAGCCTCTGATTTTGCTCTGCACGATGTTGCTGATCTACCTGCATTGTGCAAATCAAAGTTGAATGTAGTTTGAACTCATCTCCTTGCCAACCCTCACACATTCATAATTTATTTTACATCCGTTTCTCAGTTTGTTTGTGCCATGTGTGTGAACCCGCCTGAGTCAGCTCTTGTAGCAAGATGCACCCCTCGCGGAATTTGGCCATCTGCAGCCATGGGTTGCAGTTGCACTAAATTCCGATTGTCTAATGACTAGAATCCAGTGCCCACATACAAGAGCTGCAAATACAACCTAGTATACAACCTGTAGCAGCCTGTTTGTCAAGAATTTGTCAATGTCTGAAAAAGCTGTCTCCCAAACAAAACTCCAATTTGTAAACGGTGATTTCACAGCCTCATTAGCATTGCCGTATCGCAAGAGCGGTCCGGCTGCGCTCTGGAATGCTTCCAGCGCTCTTGCTGCTTTTGCAGCAACACGTTCCATGGTCAGCAGCTTGCGCACACCGTTCTATTTCCAGCATATGTAATACCATTGTTATTAGTTATTTGTTATCCTCTTATTTTTTTATTGCCCAGCTATGGAAAACACAACATTCAACAATATAACGAACCTAGTGATATCAGTGACCTATTTGGATTGTAACTTATTTGGGATGCAACATCATTTGACATCATGCTCCATCTTTGTAAGACTTAGTCCTGCCTGAGTTATCAGTTTTCTTTGCACCAAGCATCGTGTCACACTCAAAAATACGCAAACCGTTCACTTGAGACACATGGTTCACACATGTCACACGCCGGAGACCGTAACACACAAGCACAAATTATTCACCAGGTTTTCTTGACCAACCACAGTAGTAGTTTAGCTACATGTGGCCCGGCCACCATATTTAAACTCAAAACTATATGGAATCATGTATCATTCTTTTCGGGAGTGAATCCATTCCACGCGGAAGCATACAGACTTATGGCTCATTTCCCGGTTGAACCCGCATGACTTTAGAAACTTGGCAGTTCTCGCAATTTGCATCTCGTCCTGCAGTTGACCCAGTTTCGCCTTGGCAGCTCGCATGTGTTGCCGCACCTCCGCTGCGTCGAAGGCGAAGCGAAGGCGGGGTTTCGGATGAGAGCGACCGAGGAGCCATGTGCGGAGTTTTCTCGGGTTCCGAAAGGCCACTGCGAAGTTTTTGGTTCTAGAGTTGACGATTTTTTTTTATTTTCTGTTTTCTCTACCAAACAGTCGCATTTTGTGACTGACTCTTGCTTGTCGGATCCCTGACGGGTGCATCCTTGCTACATCGTCATTCCCGCTGTGCAGGCCTCCTTTCATCATGGTTGCTGGAACCACTTTCTTGCTCAAAAGGGAAGAGAGGAACCCATCACCATTTGCAACTGTTGCGCTCCGCTCCCGCCAAAAGAAACAAATCATCATCATCATCATCATCAACAACAACAACAACAACAACTGGCAACAACATTAGCTACATTCACATGTTTGTACTTGTGAATAAGCCTGCCATGCCTTTGGGACATCTTCAAACAAACCCGCGTGCGTCCACACCGTCCAACACGACATCGGCCTGAGCCACCCAAAGCCATCGAAGACCTGACTCAGTCGGAACAAAGATCCTTCGGCTGGGAGCTCCCACTGTGTCAACGAAGGAATTTGATTAGCAGTTTGGACCACTGCGAGTGACAGAAGGAACACCGTTTGCACCCTATAGCACGGCTTGGAAGATGACGCTTTTCAACCCAAGTAAGGGCGATGTAGTGTTACTTTGGAGCGCACCTTCAACTGAGAAGCTATTTCTTTTTGTTAGTAATGTTTGTGTGGCTTGCTCCTTCGGTGCCAACATCGGTGGGTCCTGAGAGTCCTGAATTGCTTTCCCGATTTGAGAACGCTTTCTACTAGCAACAAGGACGCTGCTAGGGGCTCCTGGCCTTACTACTAGGAAAAAGAAGCTACTAGGAACAAAGGGCATTTCTATTAGTAACAAGGACGCTAGATTTTCGAGAAGTTGGGTTCCCAAAACTGTTTGTCCCTCTGCTGATTGATGGCTATTTTAGGGATTTTCGGTCCCAAAATAGGCCAACATCCATTTGGACCTCACGTGAGTTCACGGGATGTCTTGGAGGCTTCCCTTACGTGCGAATAAAACCTTCACTCTGACGCTCTGACCGGGCGCTTTGGATCCATCGGACCAACAGCCTGGGCCCTGACGCCAGCTTCAAGAACGATCGATTGGCTTGAAGCTCCGGGTCCCTTAGGACATGCCCTTTTCTGCACAAAACTTCCAATGCCAAAACCATCAGGGCGAGAAGACGGCTCTCAAGTGCGGATTTGCTTAGAATCCAAGATGAGCTGAGCACAGCTTTGCTACCTTCTCGTTGCGCAACTGACAAGCATAGATAAGTTTCCCAAAAAATCCAGGAACCAAATCATAAGTGTGAGCGCTTCTTCAATGAAGCTACCCCGCCCTCAGGTGGGGGGAGCTTCCCTGAAGAAGCGTGAGCTATCCTGCGTCTTAGGTAGTAGCTACCTAGTCTCTACTAGCTACGTAGCTACCCTACCTTGGCCTACCCTCCCTTAAAAACAGACAAATCGTTCATTCTTTTAGCCAAATCACATTTCCTGAGCTTTCTTTCTCCTCCCGCCTTGAAGGTCAGCACCTCTTTCTCGAAGAAGAAGACTGTGGAGGCTTGAAAGACCTTGCCAGAACGCTTCCAAGGTGTGTGAAACTCTGTCGACGGGATCGACAAAGGATGGACTCAAAGGTGGGGTCAACTTAGTCGACTTGTGGGTGAACAATTGGGACGTCATTGTATTGGAATCTGCAATTGAGGCGATTGAGATCAATGGCTTGAAGACAAAGGTTTTGATTTCCACGACCAAGAGAAAACTGAGGCGTCATGAGGAAAGAAAAAATGGAAAACAAACAAAAGACAAGTCTGAACCCAAAACCGAAAGGAACGCCTGGCAGAATTTGCCAAAAAGAGGAGCAAGTAGCTACTAGGAGCTTTTTCGCGCTAACTAAAAAGCTCGTCAGGTCCCCCGGCATAGCCGAGCAGAGCCAATGGTGCCGTGGCCCAGAAGGTGGAACGACCTGGAGGGCTGGGGAAACAAGGTGGAACGACCACCGGTTCTTTCGAAGTGAGGTGGTTACATCATGTCAGATCTGGAGAGGTTTCTCATGGCATGCGGCATGACCGGGATGACCTCCCAGGGTTTTTGAGACGGCCTAAGATGGCTACTTATCATGCTCTCATGACCCTGGCCTGTTAGCCTGCACCTTCAGTGGGCTATGAGGGCAATCCCTCAATAAGCCAAGCAGTGCAAGGGTTTGAGGAATTGACAAAGAACAGCAGAGTCTTTATCTTGTGGAACCCAAACGTTCCACATGGTTCTTGGCTCGAGTGAAGCATTGATTGAACCCAAACGACTGCAATGTCATCTGTCAAAACCGGTTTCGCTCCGATTCATGTCGCCTAACTCCAGGAGGTCTGCGTCTCCATCCTCAAGAGAGACCAAACCCAACTTCTCTGTGATGCACTGCCTGGGCGGGAGTCTTTCGAGTGCGGAGTCCCGGCAGCCTGGTCTTTCGAATCTGGACGAAAAACATTCCAAAAAGTCCGGATTCTAGACTCCTCTCTTCAGGCCGCGGCAGAAGCCACGGGGACATGGCGGCAGCCATCGCGATCAGGGAGGAGGCCAAGTAGCAGCCCTGGAACATGCTTTGAGCATCGAAGAAAGGGTTCAAGAGGCTTGGAAGACCAACGATCAACCTTTGTGAAATCAGTTGGTTTGGGCTCGATCCCTGAACACCTGCTCGCCTTGGCCATGGCCAGTGGTTCCTTAAACCCTAAGAAGAACATTCATTTCGAAACCATTCAAACTTCTCTTTGTGCTGAATCAAGTGATTGACCCTCTTCTACAGGGCATCTAGCTTATGGTCCAAAGGGAACAATAACACTTCCACTGCATTTTGAACCAAGCACTTTCTCTTCATGACGAGTCCCCCCCGTTCCATTCTTCACGTCATCCATTCGGCTCGCAGCCTTTAGGGCGTTCCAGCGACTGCCCATGACTGTCATCAGAGACGAGGCGATGGCCGCGTACCTCGGAGTTGCGGCAAACGTCTCGACATCGATGTGCATCATGGACGGCGGATTTCGTATTCTCCACCTGTGAGGTCCTAGAAAGCCAAGCCCACAGTCCATGGTCGGTCCACGACTGGCAGAAGACCTGGCAGCATCCACCAGCACCGAGAAGAGCAACGCTGCAACGAAGGTGTGGGAACGGCTCTGCCCTGCGGCGATTGGAGCGGTTGGCCCAAGAGTTATGGAAACCTTTGGGCGGAGGATGGCGGATGGGAGGAATATATATATATATAATATATACTACTAGGAGCAAGAAGCTACTAGTAGCTCCTGGCCTTACTACTAGGAACAAGAAGTCCATTTTAACTCCAGGGAACCTTGCAGTGCAAGGTGTGTTGGTTGCAAGTGAAGGACGATGAAGCACCCCCAGCGGGTGCTGGTCGCCGCTGTTCGGCCGTAGAAGCACCGCGATGACCGTGTGTGCCACACGGGCCGTGTAACTTCGGGAGACCTCCCAGTTGGACCCTCTGGCAGAAGGAAAATAGACCAGTCTACTCCTTGGTTTTTTTTGGGTCTTCCGATTGAAATCCCCACGCGCCTTGTTGGGCTTCAAGCTCTACAGCAGTCTTCCCCTTCTCCCCACCGGTGTCGCCCCCGCCAGGCCCAAGCTGAGCCTCTGGATTCGAAGATGGCCACACTTCGCAGAAGCCTTGGCAATCTTTCGACGTCAGGGACCCGCAGACTGAGAAGACGGAAGACGAGTGGATCTATGCGGCTTCCTTTTCACCCTTCGGCCTGGGGAATTCGGCTTCAACTCCTGAAGCCTTTTGGGCTTAATAAAACTTAACCCGAGATCAAAGGGCAAGCACCATGTTCCGGGAGTCCGAACTTGTCATGTCTCAAGAGCGAAGATCTGGGAAAACACCGGAAGGCACGGGCTTCACTCTCCGGGCTTCCCTGCGTGCCACTGGGCAAAAGGCAAGCGAAATCACGCAGTGGCCATGGGCCCCACACCTGAAGTCCAAACTGCGGTCCGTCACCTGGGATGATTGGTGGTTATCATTGGGGTGGATCCAAGGGCCCAACTTGAGCAAAACCTAGTGCGTGGAAGAAACCGTGTATGCGTTTCATGTGTTTCCCTGATGGTGGATGACACTTCATGCATTCAAGAAGGACATGGAGAAGGCCAAGATTCACTAGCTAAACAGGATACAGTGCTCCCCCTCCAGATTGAGATACATTGCCTGTTGGCGTCTCAACCAGCTGAACGAGGGATGCAGGAGCAGTGGCAAAGCACCAATGACCTCAGCCAAGGCGATGGGACCTTTTTGGCAACTCGGGTACCATCCCAGTGGTTGAAAATGGCCAGCCGACACTCCAGCCGACCCTTTGGCCGGTGACACTGGGTGGGGACTTCGGCTGGCCGAGATGGTGACTTGGTCGAAGAGCTTTTTGTAGTACCTCATAGACCAGGGAGTGCAACCCACCACTCAGAAACCAATTCAGAACTCCCTTCGTTGGGGGTGGTTGGTGAAAGGGCACCCCCGAGCATTTTGGGGGGGTACAGAAGAACCAGACGCCACAAATGCACGTGAGACAAACATGTAGGGCACCGGTTCGCAACATGAGATGAATCAGCAACTGCTCCCAGCAACTTCCAGTGTTTCAACACGTTAGTTGCGTTCGCTGAGACAGCCCTTTTCGTTCAGCTTGACCTGGAAAGACGTTGAGCTTGGTACTGTGTTCGGAAGTCCAGATTCTCATCCACTGTAGAGTACTCGAAACAATAACTATTTCGAGGAGTGCATCAGTTTGGAGTGTCCACTGCATATGCATATCTTTCCCAATGAGGAACCGATTTCCACCTTGGGGAACACGACACGCACCTTGCGGGAAGAAAGAAAACACGAAGTGGTTAACCCCTCCCCCCTTCGGCACCGGTGCCGTTTCGGTGCGGCCAGGTCACCACGAGGATCATCAGTTGGATCTCTTCGCCCGTCCAACCGTTCAAGGCCAGCCAGTTCCGCACATCCTGCATTCCCAGCTGCCTTTCGGGTGGACGAAGGAGGATCTCTTTTTAAACACGGAAGGGAAGAAAACAACACCAAGAACACGAAAGCGGGTGTGCAAACGATGAACACACTGATAGAAGATCCACGGCACATCCAATATCAATACTAACAACATTTCTTGAGAGACAATGGCCACTTGTCTTGATGCATGGCTGAGGCTGTGCTCCAACACCTTTCTACCCAATCCCAGTTTTCATGCTGGCATGAATTGGGGACAGCACGATGTCTGTGAATTTGTTCGACCCCCCAAAAGCCATCTCCGACCCCAGAAAAGTCCACCCCATCTTTCAGTGTGCCCAGTAGGAGAAGCTTTTCTCCACCGTGCGGATCTCGGAAGTGGACATCGACAGTCTTTTTGGAGTGCGGACCTCCCGCACCAGCTTAGACCGCCGCAGGGGAGTTTTGTCGTTGGGGACAGCATCGGAGCGGTCCTGACCGTAGCTGCCCAGGGAGTTGCAGATCTGGCCACGAGTGGAAGAACCAGGTGATTCGACTGACATGTGCAATAGAGTGCAACGGTTGTATGAAGCACTGACCTAGTCTGAGTTTACCAGAACTAGGCCAGGCCCTCAGCTAGGAGGGATGGGAGGAATACCTAGGAATACCTCCTGCGTTGCCGCATATGCTTCTAGTTTTTCAAGCTCCTCAATCTCACAGGAGCAGGTCTTCTCAGAACTGTTCGGGGCCTGCCACTGTTAGTCTCATTCTCCCGCGACTGTTAGGCGTTTGACTGGGAGGATTTTTCTGCCTTCTTCTGAGCAGCACCCCACATGTTCACAAGCTACACCTCGACCTCACACCCGAAGCTCGCCGTCTCGCCTCGGAGAGCAGCAGGAACCAAACACTCGGGCCCAAGGCTCCGCCTGTCGTTCTCCGATTTGCCAAGAGACTTTCGCCACACACCTCCACGACCTGACTTCTCACACACCTCCACGTCCTCTCCCCTTGCAAGTCGTCTTGTGTCCCTACCCAACGGCCACGAGTTCGTGCTCGTCTTCGCCAGAAGTCCCCTTTAAAAGGTGGAGGGGGTGGAATCTCACTGCAACAAAAAGCTTCTGGAAGCAAGCTCCGCTGCTTGTCCATCAGGACCTGCACTGGGATTCGAAAGCTGTTTCCTAAAGCCACCCAATGGAAACGAACAAATGTCTGCTCCCTATCTGAAAAAGAACTCCAAAGAAAAGAAGTTCTCGGTCTTTAGTGCAACAAGGAACGATTACATACACTCCCTGCTGGAAAAATAAATACGGAAGTGGATGGCATACCCAACAGGTGGTGCCATCCACTTCCACAAAAAATCAAGGAGTGTATCTCCAAATCTCCAAAAATCAAGGAGTGTATCACAAAAAGAAGGTCTGACGGTATATGACCCGACCTTAGACCTGATTGGGGGAGAGTTAGTTCCCCTCCCCGTGGCATCGACGCGGACGGACTGCGGGTCCCCGGGCTGGTACTTGGCAGGACGTGGGTGGCGTAGCAGTATGGAGCCTGGCAGGTGTGGTGAATTTCCAGTGGGGAGCGGGGGGGGGTGCATCTGAAATCTGGTTCGTGTGATTTCATGTTGTCTTGGTAGGGATTCTACTTTTTGGGTTCCGTGGGCAAGCATTCATCACTCCGCGGGCCACTTCGCAGAAAACCAAACCCGCGAGCGCGAAGCACAATGTCAGTGTCTGATTCCAGTCTCTCGCCCTACAGTGTGACTCAGCCATCCACCCTGCGAAGCACCAGCAACTCAGGTTGCTCACTGCGGTGCTGCGGTTTTGCACCATGCTGAAGCAAGGAGCCCCTAGTAGCGTCCTTGCTCCTAGTAGTGATGCTCTTTGCTCCTAGTAGCGTCCATTGCTCCTCCCCCCCCCGCGCGCGCCGCGCGCGCGCGAAAAAGTCCTAGTAGCCTTCTTTGCTACTAATTACACTTAATTCTAATTAAATTCTATAGCTTCTTATTGTTTCTAATAGCTTTTTGTTACTACTAGTAAGGCCCTTTGCTCCTAGTAGCGATGCCTTGAACAAGAGCACCAAGGAGGTGAACGAGACCACGAAAAGCACCTGCGCGATCCGACGATCCGGTGACGAGTCGGTGAGCGAGGTGACAGTCGTTTTGCCCAAAAGAAACGGATCCGTTGGCCCAAACGTTTGGTGAGTCGGTTTCTTCGTTTTTTCCAACGTTTGGAATACTTTTGGATGGGGTTTGATGGGGGCACGCACTTCCTGGGGCGCATTGGGGGGCACGTCATGCAGCTGTGGGAGATGAACCCACCGGAGCTGGCTGAAGGTACAGGTCAAGTGCTGTTGGTGTTTGGTGCTTGCGCGTTTTTGTTGCAGGGATCCTTTGAGACAAACTAGCTCCAAGGACCTTGTCTGCGCAGTTTCAGAGATGTCCTGTTTGTATACATTCAAGCCTTTTTGCTTCCTCCTAAGACGTTAAGACTTTGATCCGAGGCTTTTCTTGATGAATTCTTGCGTCTCTCTCTGGAGGAGACGTACTTCCTGCGGGCTGGCCATGTGTCTTGTTTAGCTCTCTAACTCCTCAGCCGGCCAGCATGCTCCCAAACTGGTGCTCATACTTTGCGGTCTGCACATGGGTGAGACTAGCTTCCTCCACAAAAGGGACGTTCGTTCCACTTCCCCCCCCAAATCCCTCGAAAACCGGCACGCCCCCCCTTTTCCACACCCTCGCGCGCGCGATTGGCGCCGCCCCTTCCACGTCTTCGACGCGAAGGCGGGGCGCCGGAGCTCTTCGCTGCGGTCTCTCCGACGGCGCCGAGAGGTTCGGCGATGAAAACTGCTACAACGGGGTCTGGGGTGCCGAGTCGTTCGCTCTGGATGTGTAGATCGTGGATCGTCGGAACTTCAAAAAGTGAAGAGGGGACTTTAAAGGTGAAGAGTGGACTTCGACATACACTTCGATCATACACAGCAAAAAGAAAAACGCACCTCCTTTACATAACGGTAAAGATGTTGATTCTTCTGGATTCCTTGGCCTCTTCCAACCTCTGCGAAGCAAAACTGATTGGCTTAACTGCAGAGATTTCAGAAATGACGGAGATTTTGGTTGCACTGCAGGGCATTTGGAAAAAGTTCGATCTTGTTGGGGAAGATCAATCATGAAACCGATTGCCCACCCCAAAACGCCCAAGTTCATCGCTGCTATGAAAATAAACCGAATTCCCTCCACCAAGATACGTGGAACATCCAACTGTGTTTGATTCTGATTTCTGGACCGTGAGCCCCTAGTAGCGTCCTTGCTCCTAGTAGCGATGCCCTTTGCTCCTAGTAGTTGGCTTAGCCGGGACAATTGCACCCTCCGTTGGACCCACTGACTTTGAGTCTGGCCGACCGGCACGGCTCATGCGACCCGCTGACCCTAGTCCTGCGGAGTGGGAGAGTGGCTCGGCGGAAGAGCGGAAGCCACCCTTGGTGTGAACCATGAGTGGCTGGGCAGTTTGCAAAGAAGAAGGGTCTTGGAACTGGGCAGACATGATTGGTGTACTTCAAGCTGACGATCAGCCCTCAGAATGCCCGGAAGGTGCACCAATGGAGCCTTCCAAGTGGGACAGTAAGTCCATGTGCCTTACAGATCCACTTGGGCATAGAATGCCACTCGTCCCACCTAGTAAAGGACCGTCGTTTGCTTCCCGAAGGGGACTGGGAGCCAACACAACCAAGAAGTGCCAAGGATCCAAAAACAGCCAAAGGGCAATCAATAAGGAAGGCGTGAAGTACTTTCCGCTTTCGCTACCCTGGCTGTTTGGCGCTACAACTTTCCATTCACCAAACACCTGTGTAGGCCAGAACCCCAGCGGAGCATCAGCCACGGTGATGACACTTCGGTGAGTTGGCTTGACCCACAAATGCTACACCAGGTGAATTCCTCCAGGGGCAGAACAAGTCTGCGATAGATGATTCAACCACCCAACGTTGCCGTCGCCAGTCTCTCCCAGGCAGTCCTCATCCTTGGTATCTTCCAGGATCAACTGATCCATGCACTGGTAGGCGCCCGAATAGCACAGCAAGGGGCGTAAGGCCTGGACCGAAACCAAGTTTCAGTTTTACAAGTAAATTGGAGGCCATCGCTCTTAGGTTGGAGGCCATCGCTATTGGAAACAAAGAACAAAGAAAAGAAGAAAGGTCTAATAGCCAGAACCGTTTGGAGCCACTAAAGGCGAGTTCACCAGAGCATCATGTTGACCTTCTCAGACATGGTCACTTGAAAAAGAGATCAAACTAGCTGGACACGTCCTTCACCAGACTGGTTGGGTGCTTGAACATAATTGCCACTTGGCCATGTGAAGGATCCCTGTTCACCCACCAACCGCTCAGCGCGACGGACGAGCGGTTCTTCACGGACACGGCAGTCCGTTCGATGCTCGAAGTTCGGGACCCGAGTTCGCCCACAGCGGCGGTGTCCTCGAAGTCTCCAAGGTTTGGGTCTCCCAACAAGGAGCGATCGGACGCTACTAGGGGCTCCTGGCATCGCTACTAGGAGCAAGGACGCTACTACCGGTTTTTTGGAATTTTTGGTGAAGAGATGCCAGATACACCAAGACCAAGAGGGATCAGCCCCGCTCGTCTCAAACAGAGAGACCTCAAGTTCCTTCAATCTCCCGCAAAGGACTTGAAAGCGAACTCCCGCAGTTCCCCCAAGGAACCAAAGCGCCGAACCGTGCGTACGGCAGGCAACACACTAGTTTACGGCATCGCCGTCGGTGGCGCCTGTCGTAGGTGAGCTTTCAAAGGGCTCAAGACCTTGGAGAGCCAATGACTTGCAATGAATCCGCTGAAGCAACAAGGCTTAGCTTAAACGTCAACGGAAGGCCACGGATTGAGATGGCAACTGCAACTCATCTGATATCTTTTCATGGCTGCTGCGGATGTAACATGATATAACCGTACCACAAGAGATTACCGCTAGACTTCAGATGCGAACTAGACAGCCCAAAAGTTCGCACTTAACTCGAAATGGCCCAAACAAAGCCGTTCTGATTGGCTCAAAACGACCCGGGATTCCCCAAACAGGCCAGGCCCGGTGTCTCCCCGGTGGAGCCCGGTGGACGCCCAAAAACACCGCCGGTGGAGCCCGGATCGGTGTCTCCCCGGTGTCGCGAGGGTCCGGGCGCGGTCCGGAAGCTCCGCCAGGTCGGTCTCTTGGGCCACCCAGAGGGAGGCCTGGAGCTGCTAGGAACAAGTGCATCGCTAGTAGTAACAAGTGCCTTACTAGTAGTAACAAGAAGAATTTAATTAGAATTGTAATTACTAGCTTCTTGTTACTACCAGTAAGGCACTTGTTACTACTAGCGATGCACTTGTAATTACTAGCAAAGGAATCTACTAGGACCTTTTCGCGCACGCGCGCGCACGCGCGCGGGGGGGGTAGGAGCAAGTAGCTACTAGTAACAAGAAGCCACTAGGGGCTCCTGGCATCGCTACGAACGGAGCAAGGACGTTACTATCTACACTCCCACACGCATTTTGGCCGCTCCGTGGCCTTGGAAGAGACTCGGATGGTGAACTCCTCCTCGGTCGCGGCGAAGAACGGTCGCCCCCAACACCAGGAGAGACCACCGCGCCCGGTGAGGCGACGAACGTTTGGGGCGTGGGTGGCACGAATCTGTTTGGATGCAAAACAGACTTCGCAAACGGAGGAAGGTACAAAGATGAGAGGGATGCACGCTCACCATCCGCCCTTCAGGGAATTTCAGCAAATAAAAGCAGAGTGCCCGGGTCGAACACCGTGTTTGCTCGAGCTTGAAGCGCAAGAGTCAGTTGTTCACGATCCCAACCATACGACACATCTTCTATCCCAACACAATTCGGCTCTTTTTGTCTAAGGCAACGACAGCACACAGTGTCAGGCCAATAGGCAGCTGCTGTCTACACCCAAGAAAGTCACATCGCTGCTCTTCACATCATACCAACAAAGCACAACAGACTTATACAAACAAGTGGACTGTTACACCGAAGATCAATCGAACAATGCTCACCCACTCCTTGCCCTTTCTGCATCTAGTCCCCAGTCCCTCCCGCCAAGGTTCTGGGAACTGCAAGCCCAAAGTGCTCAAGGAGCAGAAGATCGCATTGACCCCGAACCTCGCGTGTCATGAAGAGAGGCGACGCAAAAACGTGTCGCGAAGACATTCATTCGCCACCGCTGCTCGCTGGGAAGACAGGGGAGGCACAATTTCTGCTGCGCCGGAGAGAGAGATTAGCAGGTTTGGGAGTAAGAACATTGAGTCCTCCCTCCTGGTTGTCTGTTGTTCATCTGATTCCTGGGCGGCTTCATCTGGGTGATGACCGATCATGCATTGTGTGGCTTTCGATGGGATGTGACCAGTTCCTTCCACAAACCGAAAACACAGGACTCACCTCGCTGGAACTCGCTGGAACTTGCCTCACATGCCTTCCAAGCACACCCCACGCATCCCCACGCACTGGCGATCTGTGCCTCCCGAAGTTCACCTCCCTCGCCGGCATGAAGGGCCCCCGGCGCCCTGCGACGCCGTGAATTGCCTACCACAAGTGGTCTACCTTTCTTCCCCGGATTGGGGTCTCCAGTGTTGTGGGCTGTGAGGGATTACCCGGCTACTCCATTTCCAAAGAAGTAAACTGTCAAATCCCAATCGTCTCTGCTGAAGCGGTGAACACCCCGCACCTGCACTCAAAGGCCGCTGATGAGCACGCTGAAGCTTTTGAGGGCCTGGAGTAATCTCCAGATGCTGTCACAATCATGGGTTAACTTTCTGATGCTGCCGACAGAAGAGGGTCGCGAACCCATTTGGCATACCGACTGTTTCAATGCGCAGGCCAATAGAACCAATCCAATTTCAAACAGAGTTTTACACAAAGAATCAAATCAACAAATCAACAAGCATCTCGGCTCCTAGTCAAAGGCTTGACTTTAAGAGGCGGGGGGTGGTTGTTTTTTCCCAAATCTCCCCGATAGAATTGACCACAAACCATCCGCATTCTTTGGCCCAACCAGGATCCACACTGTCCAGTCAGGCTTTCCATTCCCCCGCTCCAATCTTTTTCTGTTTCGAAACTGTTTG